GCGGGAACTGCTCCACAGGCTAGCGTGGCTATTTACCAGGGAGGTTGGGACTACTCATCAGCCTCGTATCCTCGTCGGTCAACATGCTGAGCGAAGCAAAAAGGAAATGGACGACCTGTCAGCACTTGCCACAAGCGCCCACGATCAATTTGTGACATGCCCGTAAAGTGAAGGTCGAGTGACGGCATCTTTGAGCTCATGAGCCATGAGCCATCTCTCACGGCAACTCCCCGCAACATTCCTCATGTCAGCCTGGCCGGTGGTCCATCATGAGATGCAGTTTCATTGCATGGTGTCAGCAGATGCGTGTACCACGGGGAAAAAAAAACAGGATTCTCCGTGACATATGGCTCAAAAAGAGACTGACCAACAGCAGACCAAGCTGAAATCAGCAAAAAGATGCCAAAAACAAACAAAACAAGCTGCCAGAAAACAATCAAACAAACAAACAAACAAACAAACAAACAAGACAAAACAAAACAAAACAACAAAAAGCTGCCCAAAAACAAACAAAACAACAAAAAGCTGCCCAAAAACAAACAAACCAACAAATTGAGCTATGACCTATGCCCTTCCCTCCCCCAGTGACCCGATGGGTCTGGGTTGCCCTCTGGGCTGCCGGGCGCTGATGCCGGCCACACGGCAGGCCTCGATCGCCGGCTTGCACTCTGGCCGGGGCGGGTCCAGGATGCCCACCATGCCCACGAAGGTCATGCCCTCGGCTCGCTCGGCGATTCGGCGGATCGACCGATGGGAGCCCAGGGCAGCCTGGGGGTTCGATTGGAGAGCCACCAGACTTGCCGGGAGGGGCCTGGAGGCTGGCAACATGCGAGCCCAAGGAAAGAGCATGTAAAAAAAAAAAAAACGGTAGTGAGAAAATGCAGCAGAGTAAGCTGCCCTCACCTAAGTTTGCACCCCGACAGCGAGTTGAGTGGACTTGCCTCAACTCAGAGTCGAGCAGCTCCAAAAGGCCCTTCGTTTCAAGAAACTCTTGTAAGAGTTGCTTCTGGCTTCTTACTTTCCACATCAAAGCCGGTTCCCAGGTGGAGCCGAACCGCTAAAAGGCGCGAAATTTGGGCCTTCCACTGGTTCCCATGTGGGGCCGAACCCCCAACAGGCGCTTCGCAAATTTTTGGGCCGAGCGTCCTGCTCGATCTCTCCGAAGGTGCCGGGATCCGCCAGCAGCTTGTGGCCGGGATGACCGGGCCCGTCGTAGCTCTGAAGATCCCCCAGCTCCTCGGCACGTCTCGAAGCGGAAGCGAAACCCCACGGCTGGGCCCAAAGGGACCACGCGGCCAGAGATCTTCGGACGGGCTTTTTTTTGGCCGGAGCGGGATTATCTATATATACCTCCGGCGAGGGAGGCTTAGAGCGGGAGGCATTTCCCATTTACTATCCAGGGCTTGCCCCGCAGCTTTTTGTGTCCTGTGGTTCCATTGGCTTGCTTGGTCGGGCAGGGAAGGGGACAGAACTAAAAAGCTGGCGCTGCATAGATGGTGTCTGGGCTGTTCAAAATGGAGGGTTGGCAAATATGACTTCCATATTCCCCGAGAACCACTATGTTACAAAAGGGACCGGTTCCTTTCGTAACCGAAGGTAAGAATCTAGCGGAATACCTTGGAACAGCCCAACTTCTGTCTTCGAAAGGCGGGCGAACTTATTCCATCAAGAACCTCTTGCCCTTCCCCACACGCCCCAAGGCTTCGTCACGCAGTCCTCCGACTTCACTGCCATACCTCAGCTTCTTCGCGGTTTTCTGAGGGTTTTTGTATTACACCCTGGGACTACACCCTTGGGAAATGACCCAAAATGGTTCAAAATAACACGGTGTTATCCAGAAATGTGTGCCGTTTTTGGGGTCAATACCCAGTGGGTGTATTCAAAGGGTGTAATACAACAACCCTGAGATCCCTGAAGCAATTCACCCGATAAGAGAAATGCAACCCTGGCAAATGTCACGAACCAAGCAGGAACACATTTGCCCTCGGACAGGTGGATGCAAATTTGCCCTCGAACAAGAAGATGAAGGAACTCGACAGCTCCCACAAAAAAAACGAAAAAGCAACAAACAAACAAACTTTGGAACCGCATTCCGAGGGGAAGCCCACTGCGACATGATTGCTTCGCAGACCAAGAGCTAGAGTGGCCCACTGTTGAAAGTAAAGCTTTACGAGTCCTTCCCCACCAACTTAATTCTTAGTAGAAACAAAGCAGGGTTCACGGCCCCGCGGGTACGAACACGAATTCTTCGCTTGAAACAAAGCCAACTTTCTATGCCACCTGAAGGCAATGCAGTGGGTGGCCTTGCCTAGAGCCAGGGATTCAACCGGTTTACCCATGCCACAGCTGAGCATGAGACTAAAACAGGACCTTGCCATCAACAAAGGCCGCGCTTTTCATGTGTGAGGGTTCGGTCTAAACCGGTAAACCCGGTAAACCCATCCCACCAGTCAGCGCCAGGGTGCCCATGGTTCGGAGTGCCGATTTGGCCATGGTCACCAGCTCGCCTAGGCAAACTCAGGCTGCTCGGCCCGGAGCCAATGACCGGCATACGAAGCGAGCCGTATGGGTGCGGTTCTCAAAATTAAACGATCGGAGGGGCAAACCGCAGGTGTTGGTCCATGTTTCCCACTTGCCAGGGTTCCATTTTGGGACCGGGTTTTTGAGCCGCAGCCAAATGTCCACATCTTGGGAGGGCAACCACGGAAACTTACTGAGCCAAAGGTGCACCGAGACGAGATATACCGAGGCTTCGGCTGTCAATGCGGTCTCGCCACGCATCTGTCAAAGGCTCCACCTTTGCAAAGAAAAAACACAAAAATGCAGGCCGGAACAGCTGATGTCCGTTTTTTGCATGTGATGGCCTGCCTCTCCCGGGCTCATAACAGTTAGGGCCTTTGCCACCTAAGGATTTCAGGCCGGCAAATGGATCGAGGCAAGCATCCCGCAGGTGCCACACGCAAGGGTCACACGCGCAAGGTGTCTCCAAGATTTTGCCAAAGCCAAGGGATCAAACCGGCAACAAAAACTGGTGCCAAACATGCCCCGCAAAGCAGACCTCAAAAACTGGTCCCTGGGCAGACTGGTCTCTCAAAAACTTGCCCTTTCAAAAGGAATCCTTTCGCACTGTTGCTGCATGGGTGTGTTTAACGAGCCTCAAAAATGCAAGTGGCCTTCTGACGGAACCCGCGACCGGCGAATCCCAATGTGCCTCACCGTTGGGGAGCATGATCTTGGTACACCGCCTCCGCAACGCTTGGCTTCCATAAGAGGATTGCCCCTCAGTCCTTGTTTGAGGTGCCCTTCCAGGGTGGTTGTATATGTTGTGCATCATTAGTTACCCCTTTTACATACCCCTTGGGCAAATGAACCCCTGAGAGGCCTCATGTTCATACCATATCCTCTCCCCAAAAGGGGTCTAAATCTTTTCCCATCTAAAGCGGCTTGGAACCCAGGGAAGCCAAGGCCTTAGAGCCCTCGCTCCTCGTTGGGTCAAGGGAAGCTGACAGGTGAAGTGTTTCGTATGTCCGCAGTGAAGTGGACATAAGACAAACATCTTCGCTCTGAAGACATGTTGCAATCTTTGAAATTGGTCTGGCTGTGGGTCTTTGGCAGGGCATCCCCAGCGCCAGGAAAGAATCGATGAAAAAGCTGGCGTGTTTTGTACGCCACGAGTAGCGCACACCCCTGGCATGCCCAGGTATGTTGAAGTATGCATCAAATGGCAAAGGACATGTTTTGCAAACAAGCAGGGCTCCAGTTCCGGATCGCATTTGCAAGTAGGCGTCACATGGTTCGGCATATAAACATCAGAAGCTCCCTGTTTCCGGAACTTTCATCTCGGCGAAGTCAAACGCCGAACTTGGCAATGGGGCAGGGAAAGCCTTCCTTTTACATAACTACGTTTCCAAAACTCACTTGCTGAGTGGATGGCCCAAAAAAAAGTTCAAACTTAATATTTACCACTACACTGGTCTTCCCAAAAAGTTTAAAGTTCATCAACTCAGGAAGCGAGAAAATCCAATCAAACTTCGGCAGAATGCATTTGCATTGGAGACCAACCCTTCCTCGCTGACCCTTTGGCGTGAGGCGTCCATACGCCTCACGAGCATCTCGGGCGCACCCTTGGCGAAGAGCACGTTGCTCTGGGCCTTTGTGTCGTGCCACAAAACGCCTCAGAGCGATGCTTGGTTGCTGGCGAGACCCCCCGAGGCAAAAAGTGAATGACTTTTTGGGGGGTTTAGTGGAAAACCCCACTTGATTTCAACCAAAATGTTAAAGTCTAAAGATCCAACCCAATAGCAGTCAAGATAAGTGCCCAAACTATGCGGAACTCTTTGTAGGCCGATTGAATTAGGCAACATACATTACAAGCTCCAAACACTTGCCTCCCCTTAGGACCTTATGGCTGTGCTTTTCCTAATAGTCAAGAATCGATTCACCAAATTTTAAAGCCAGGTCCTGTTGTTGCGGTGCCTGCCCCCTTTTGGCAAACTCTGCTGTTGCTAGCCCCTGCTTTGGCTTGGACGGCCGTCACCAGGAGCCCAAACAATCAGATCCAAGCCACTCATTGACTTGCGGTCCCTGCTGAATTCCAGGACTGCCTGCGCCAGGTCGAACCAACGCGCAACGCGAAGTCAACGGAAGTGCAAAAATATGGCAATGGCTCAAATACATGGAGACCAATACGGCACCTTCGTAAAATGGAACCAAAGACTAAAACCTGCGTAACCCTGGCTCCAAAAAAAATGAGCCACACCCATATGGGACACATTGCACGAAGCTTGCACCAGCCTTCTTTGTCATGCCCTGCCCCCAATAGTTGGAGAAGGCCATGGCATCTTCCCTGGTCCTGGCAAGGCTGCGGGTGCAGCCTGCGGTGCCAAGCAAACAAAAGGTCACGCCAAACAACTCGGAAACACTCGCACTCAAAACCACAACAGTAGCCAAAGGCATGCCATGGCGCGGCCCAAGTGTATTTCTTGGGGTAACCTCTCTCTCTCTCTCTGCCGTTGCGTCCAGAGGGTCTTGACTCAGCAAGGCAACGAAAAAGGTGCCCACCGATGTTCAGGGACACCAACAACATACTAGGACAACCCGGGGTAACCTGCCTGCACATAATTTTGCAAGCTGCTTGGAATAGTGCTAACACTGTTGGCTCTGAGTCAACAAGTAAAGCCGCAAATACTCAATCCACGCGCATTTTGGCGACTCTAGGCGCACAATGGCGCATAGGTTCCCAAGCTGATTCATCCTGCAGTTGCCTGTCCCGTCCCCACCTTCCGATCCCTAACACCCTGCAAGTTGGGAAACTGTCTCACCAATCAATCACACCAACCTAATGAAATGTACATATGCGTAGGGTAGCCGTTGATGCGTGGTTGGTGCATGTGAGGTCTATTTCAGGCCTGTTCCACTTTGGTATTTCACTGACACATGCAAAAAGCACTGCCTCTACAAGGGCCACAAGTCATAAGCACCGGTTCGGCGATTTTCCCACCCGAATCCCTCCACCACCTGGCGGCGCCAAACAAACATCCTGCAAGCGAAGCGCACAACGCAGGCACCCCCCCCCGGCACCCGTTCCGCCCCGGATGTCCCGCCTCTTCTCCTTCTGCAAGCATCGCTTGTTGAGTGCTTCATCCGGGCAGCCCAGCTTCTCCACCAGAACGCGGATGGCTGCCTTGCGCATCGTTAGTAGAGAGGCTAGAATAAGGGTACCCTTGTTGCTGTAGTCTATTTCAGTAGGGGAACCCTCCCCCAAAAAAGGGTAAAAGGGCAATACTGGGGGACCTAGTGTTTGACAAATTAATGGCACTCCATGGCCATGCGTGATTGCAAATATCACTTTTGCCATGCATTTGGGCTCATCACGTCTGTACGGCCACCGCATATCGAGCGTGTGCTCTAGTGCTTGAATGATCTAGCGCCCGCACACGGCTTCAACAAGTCAGACTAGTTGAAGCTACAACTCCGACTCGCAGCAAATCCTCGCGACTCGTTTTGCGAGCCCACTCGCCAGCATGGGAACGCCCGGTGGTGCCTCGGTGGGCTCTCCGTTGCGGATGAACTTGTCGTCGTCGTCCACGACGAGCCGCGACTCGTTGCACATGCAGCCGATCCTTGGGGTGCTGCCCTTGTCCGTGTTCCTCCAGTTATGTTCTCACTTGCCTCACTTGCGCAACTTGTGGATCGCCGGGGCTCTTTCAGTTGCTTCAGGGAAAGGTGTAAATTGAAAAGCATGCGCACGCAAAATTGAGCATGAAGCATGTTCTCAATGGGCGAAAACAGCAAGTGCAAGAGAACAACTCGTAGCGTCTCTGCTAGCTCAAAACCACAGCCGCGAGTGACAGCGAACAACATACACTTCCGGCAGGTGATCAATGAATTCAGGCAGGTCCAGCAATATGGCCAATGAATGACATCTCTCGGTTCAGGGACTGCTAGAGTGCAAAAGGCAGGAACCCAGCAAAGGCTCAGTCAGGTTTCATGTTAGGGGACAGGAAGGCATGCCCAGAGAGAGAGAGAGAGAGAGAGTTTGTCTTCAGCTTCGAGTTCCTAACCCTTTGGGAAATGCCAGTCCCGCTATGTCCCGCTTCAAAACGAGCCGGGCCGGTGTTGCTCTGTAAACTTGGGCCGAGCGTCTTTGCCAAAACCTGAAGCGCGTTGCACTTCTTCCAGTCGATGGAAAGGCCGGTCACTTTGCCAACTGGCGTGTAGTTGTAACCTGGCGCCAAGTCAAAGGAATAAACAAATAAGAGAAGGGCAAGGTACTTTTTGTATGTCAACCGCAACGCATGCAAACGAGAGAGGGAGAACTTCCTGTGGCCTTTTTTCTTCAAGGAAAAACACATATATTGTAATTATGATGATATGAGAAACTGTTGCTCAAACCCCACATCTGGCGAGTATGAATCGTTCAGGACCTCGGCATGAAAGGGGCAAAGCCATGTCAATGTGATAAAAGCTCCTCTCTCATCGAGGCTCCGTCCGTCCCAAAACCCACCTCCCTTACTTTGTTGCGCTCGGCAGTAGGTCAGGAGGACATCAATGGAATTTAAAACGCGCAAACCAGCACATCCCCAAGTCCCGCCTTCCACGTCGTAGGCCTGACAGCGATTTGCTCTAAGAATGGAGTGGAGGGTAGAAGCGGAACCTGGGCAACTGCCGCGTTGCCCTTCCATATTAGCGCTGCTAAGTAAGGGCAACGGCCAATTCTGCGAAGCTTTTACGCAAAAAAAAAGAAGAAAAGCTGGGCGACTGTTTGCATATTTCGGTACATGCGTGCGTGCGTGCGTTGGTGTGAGTGGGTGTGAGTGGGTGCGAGTGGGTGCGTGCGTGCGTGCGTGGGTGGGCGGGTGCGTGGGTGGGAGGTGTGTGCTCGTTCGTGAATGTTAGCCTGCATGCCTCTGTGCGCGCTAGTGTGCAAACTTAGTTGGCTCGAGGCTTGTGCCAGCGAGCTATGCAAATAGCGTTCGGCAACAAGGACACCTAGCCATACTGGTCTTGTTTGCCGGCCATGGCTGGATGCTGACCTGATTGCAACAAGGGCCATGCCGCTCAAGTATTCAAAGCTCGTGCCCAGTCAACAAGAGACAACCACAGAATCCAAAGGATGATTGCCATTAGGACCCCAGCCCAAAAATCCTAAATCTATATATATATATATATGACATATATATATATATATTTATTAATATATACATATATATATATAGTTGCCTGGTTAGCGGAAAGCAAAGGGCCCAAAAAAAGCGAAACACGTCAAAAAGCGAGCTGAATCCGGGGAAGTAGCGGAGGTGGAAACTTCCAAAGTGGCCTTCATAGCGCCGCCCTCAGGCAAGGCGAGCTTCACCACGCACATCTCGTTCGTGGTCAGAGTGCCCGTCTTGTCTGAGCAAATCACCGTGGTGCAGCCTGGCGCACAAAAGAGTGGCCCAGAGGCGAACATCTGCCATGCTACCATTTGCGTTTTCGCCCCCTGGAGAAGATGCGAACATCTGCCCATGGGTCAATATCCCGTACCCCCAGTGAACATCCCAATCCCCGCTAAAATAGACTAAAATGGGTGGTGCACCCACCCCAACATGGTATCATTGGTTTTGACCCACAGCCATATGCCCATGAGTGATAGATTCCCTTTCAAACCAGCAAGGGAAAAACGACAATGAAGCACATGGAAGTATGGCTGTCGGAAGCCAAGCTCAGCAACAAAACCCGACAACCCACTTCTCAGAAAAAGACACCTGCAACCCCCCTATTATCCGAAAAAAAGAAAAGAAAAAACAACAACAGCCATCAGACCAAACAAACCTACCACCCCCTATCCGAGAAGCAAAAAACAAATCTCCATCCGAACAAACAAAATCCTACAACCCCCCTTCATTCAGAACATAAAACGAGAACAAAAAAACACCTTGGCGCATGGGTTGGGCGCATCGTTTCGGGCGCCTAAAGTCTCCACGGACGGCAGCTTCCGCACGATGGCGTTCCTCTTGGCCATCTGACGTGTGCCTAAGGCCAGGCAGGTGGTGATCACCGCCGGAAGTCCTCGCGGAGACCCAAAAAGAAAAAGCGCACGAGATGGAATGTGCAAGCGTAGGTGTCCTTTTAGGGCAAATAGATGGGTTTCCCTGGTAGATGATTAAACCACCAGGTAAACCAGGATTCGCCATCTATTTTTCGACCAAAACAACCAAAAAGGACTCCAGGGATTCCTTCCGACTGCACTCAACAAGAAGCAACCATAGGTGACCTTTTGGACAAATAGATGGCCCTGGGAAATGAAATCACACCCATCTAAACCAGTGCCATCTGTTTCGTTGTAAAATAACCTAAAAAGGACACCTATGGAAACAACACCCTCCATTCATAAGAAAATGAGGAAAAACTACCATGAAGGTTGCACCTGGAATGCCAGTGTACAAACCATCGAGCAAGTACTCTTTTGGCCTTGCCGTTTGGTGGGCCTGGCGTGTTGTAAGCAAACGGTGGCTAACAGGCTCGCTGAGGACGAAAGTGAAGGTCGAAAAACAACCACGCTTGTGCATCGGCCAACCGCCTTTTGAAACCTGCTTTGGGGTTGACGCCCATGTAGCGCGGGCCCCCTGCACCCAGTTTGACACCTCTCCAGCTAAAGGTACAAAAGGTCAGATTTACCTGGCGGCGTATGACGATACGTCCGACTATTTTATCTATGATGTGAAACGGGACCTTTCGGCCGCTGAGTAATCAGCGCTTCTCGCGCACGCGCACGACGACATCGACGCGCACGACTTCCATGCCTTCAGGGGCTTCGGGAAGCTTGCCGATACCGACACCTTCACCTGGAATATCGATCACGCGGTTCTCGCCTTCGATGAAGAAGTGATGGTGATCGGAAACATTTGTGTCGAAATAGGTCTTGTTGCCGTCGATCGCGACCTCGCGCAACAAGCCTGCTTCTGTGAACTGGTGCAACGTGTTGTAGACCGTCGCCAGCGAAACCGGGACGTCGGCCCCAACCGCTTCCTCATGAAGAAGTTCCGCTGAAATGTGGCGATCACCCTTGGAATAAAGCAATTCTGCCAGGGACACACGCTGGCGCGTCGGCCGCAAGCCCGCTGTTCGCAGCATGCCGGTCACATCCTTGCCGGCCGTTTCCAATTCCCTGTGCGTCGTCATTCCAAATCTGTCCAAATCTAAGTCCTTGTTTCGGATGGCCGTTTTCACACTATCCCACCTTCGTTAAGGAACTTTTTCCGCAGGTCTTCGGCTAGTTCTGCCATTTCTTGTGCCTAAAATGCAAGTTTTTACCGCGACGTGCAAGCTGATGGCGCGAAGACAATCGGTCTGGTCTTTCATTCGAATCTCGCCAAATAGCCTGTAAATCCCTGAAATTTGGCTCATGTGACATCTTTCGGTCATGGTTCCCCTGTGGTAGGAAGGCGCCGCAAACAGAACGAAAAACTAACCCGTTCCACCTAGGGATAATGGGTAGGAAGCAAGAAAACGGATCCTGAATGACCGAGCGCCGCTCCAGCTACGACTACGAAGCTCTACTCGCCTGCGGCCGCGGCGAGCGCTTTGGCCCCGGCAATGCCCAGCTGCCACTCCCGCCGATGCTGATGTTCGACCGGATAACGGAGTTGTCCGAGACGGGCGGCGAATACGACAAGGGGTATGCGCGCGCGGAATTCGACATCAAGCCGGATCTTTGGTTTTTCCCGTGTCACTGTCAGGGCAACCCGGTCATGCCGGGCTGTCTCGGTCTGGATGCGCTCTGGCAGCTGACCGGCTTTTTCCTTGGCTGGCTCGGCCTTCCGGGCAAGGGCATGGCGCTTTCAACCGGCGAGATCAAATTCAAGGGCATGGTCACACCGGACGTCAAACTCGTGGAATACGGCGTTGACTTCACACGGATCATGAAGGGGCGCCTGGTTCTGGGTATTGCTGACGGCTGGCTGAAGGCTGACGGCGAACAGATCTACAAGGCAACGGATTTGCGTGTCGGCCTGGCGAAGAGCTGAAGCAAATTTCATCGATCAAATTCGACCGGCGTTTCTCTTTTTCATTGGGGGCGCCGGTTTGCGTATTATGTAAGGGCAAGAAGGCTTGAGCAGTGACCGGGCCATTTGCACCTTGAACAAATAGGAGACCGCAATGAGACGCGTTGTCGTCACCGGTATGGGTATCGTATCCTCCATCGGATCAAATGCACAGGAAGTGCTTGCCAGCCTTCGTGAAGGCAAATCCGGTATCAGCTTTGCGCCGGACTATGCCGAACACGGCTTCCGCAGCCAGGTTCACGGCATGCCGGATATCGACATACCGTCGCTGGTCGACAAGCGCCAGCTTCGCTTCATGGGCGATGGTGCGGCCTACAATTACATTTCCATGCAACAGGCGATCGCCGACAGCGGACTGGAAGATAGCGACGTCTCCAATACGCGGACCGGCCTGATCATGGGATCTGGCGGACCTTCCACCAAGAACCTGTTTCAGGCGCACCAGATCGTTCTTGAAAAAGGGGCTCCCAAGCGCATGGGGCCGTTCATGGTCACGCGTGGCATGAGCTCGACCAATTCGGCCTGCCTGGCGACCCCATTTAAGATCAAGGGGATCAATTATTCCATCACGTCCGCATGCTCCACGTCCGCACACTGTATCGGTGCCGCAACCGAACAGATCCAGTTCGGCAAACAGGATGTGATGTTTGCAGGCGGTGGCGAGGAACTTGACTGGACCCTTTCCTGCCTGTTCGACGCCATGGGCGCGATGTCTTCCAAATACAACGACACACCACAGACCGCTTCGCGCGCCTATGATTCGACCCGTGACGGGTTTGTCATTGCCGGCGGTGGCGGGGTGGTCGTCCTGGAAGAACTGGAACGCGCCAAGGCTCGCGGCGCGAAAATCTATGCCGAGGTCACGGGCTACGCGGCCAACTCCGACGGGTATGACATGGTGGCGCCCTCCGGCGAGGGCGGAGAGCGCTGCATGCGACTTGCCATCGAAACCCTGGGAGATCGCAAGGTCGATTACATCAACACGCATGGCACTTCGACACCGGTCGGTGATATCGGTGAAATCGAAGCGATCCGCCGTGTGTTTGGCGACAATCAGCCGCCTGCGTCTTCCACAAAATCCCTGACCGGACACAGCCTTGGAGCAACCGGTGTGCAGGAGGCGATCTACTGCCTGCTCATGCTGCAAAACGATTTCATGACGGCATCAGCAAACATCAACGAACTCGATCCGGCACTCAGCAAAGACGAAATCGTCACGGAACGTGTCGACAATGCCGGATTGGATACCGTGCTCTCCAACAGCTTCGGGTTCGGAGGCACCAATGCCTCGCTCGCGCTGTCACGCTACCACGGCTGAGGAGACCGACATGTCTAATCTTATGAAGGGCAAACGCGGCCTGATCATGGGTGTTGCCAACGATCACTCCATTGCCTGGGGCATCGCGAAGACACTTGCCGATCACGGGGCGGAGCTCGCCTTCACCTATCAGGGTGAAGCCTTCGGCAAGCGCACCAAACCACTGGCCGAATCCGTGGGATCGGATATTCTGCTCCCGTGCGACGTCGAGGATATCAATTCGGTAGATGCGGTGTTTGACGTCCTGAAGGAAACCTGGGGCAGCATCGATTTCCTGGTTCATGCCGTCGCTTTTTCCGACAAGTCGGAATTGCGCGGCAAATATGCGGACACCACCCGGGAGAACTTCTCCCGCACGATGCTGATCTCGTGCTTTTCCTTCACGGAAATTGCCAAGCGAGCGGCAGACATCATGCCGGACGGTGGCTCGATCATCACGCTGACATATGGCGGCTCCACCAGAGTGATGCCGAACTACAATGTCATGGGTGTTGCCAAGGCCGCGCTTGAATCTTCCGTGCGGTATCTTGCGGTCGACTATGGCGAGCAGAATATCCGCGTCAATGCGATTTCGGCCGGTCCCGTGCGCACGCTTGCAGGGTCGGGTGTCTCTGACGCGCGTCTCATGTTCAACTTCCAGAAACGCACTTCACCACTTTGCCGGACGGTATCGCTCGACGAGATCGGTGGCACCGGGCTCTACCTTCTGTCCGATCTGTCCGGTGGCGTGACCGGCGAAGTGCACTTCGTTGACAGCGGCTACAACATCATGTCCATGCCGCGACTCGAGCAACTGAAGGCTCAGGAAACCAAGGTGGACTGAGTTCCCAAGCAAAACAAACGGTTCAAAGGCGGCTCATGGCCGCCTTTTTCGTTGGTGCCGGCCTATCTCCAAAGAGTCGCGATAACCTCGATGTCCTGCCAAATCCCTCAACGGTCTCGCCCGTGCCGCGGCTCGAGGAACTGAAGGTTCAGGATCGCAACGCCAAAAGAACCTTGCTTGGCTGATCGATGGTTGGCCAATGCGAGGCGCCATCCAATTCCACTTTGGTCAACCCGGAAGTCTTCAGCCAATTCAGCGAATTTTCCGGACAATTCGCAGGGTTCAAAACATAAAGAACATTTCCCGCAGACCGAAGTCGCTCGCCAGGATGACCGGTTTGCGAGTATTGTCGCGCATCGCGCCCCAGAGACCATAGTGCGCCTGGGTCCGCTCGCGAGACCCTTTCAGCATAGCCTTCAATGATACGGTTGGGCTTCGCCATCTCATGAAGGCGCTCAAGAAACGCAACGCGAAAGGAAACCGCGTCATCGTAGTCGGCTGCCGTGCCTGAGAAATAGGCATCTTCCGCCGTCAAGTTACCCTCAAGGGATACGATAGTGTCAATTATGCTGTCCGAGAGATGTGCCGCTTCGGCTGCAATGATCGACGCAACGGAGTGCGCGACAACGGAACGTGCACCGAACCTGCGCGCTTCGGCAGCAAGGTGTTGTGCCAGCGTCGCAATTGACGTTTCCCTCAAAGGCTCGGCACCAAAGCCTGGCAGGTCGAGCGGAAGAATCTGCGGATCCCCGGACCGACGTGCATCGACCAGCGGGGCGAACATTGAACTGTTGTCTCCGAATCCGGCGACGCAAAGAATCGGTCCTTTGATGTTCATCTGATCACGTACGGCGCGCAATACAGCGTAGCTCGACAACCGCTCCGTCTCGCACGAAACCCGCGACTTCTATTGCCGTCCAAGCAGGGTAAGGCTCGCTAACGGTTGCGGCACGCACCTCCTTGAAAAGCTCCAGATGTTCGCGCAAGCCGACATGGTAGCTCGTCATTTCAACAATGTGCTCAAATCCCAGGCCAGCCTCCTCGAGCACGAGGCGGACTTTCTCGAAAGCATGCTCGAACTGCTCGCGCGGATCACTGGACAGATGGCCATTTTCATTTGAACCGGTGAAACCAGTCATGAACACGAAACCGTCGTGCTCCAGTCCGGGAGACATGTTCCAGTCGCGCACGTAACTGTTCAAGACCGACGGAACAATGGCATCAGGCATTCTTGCCCTCCGAGATTGCGGTTGTGGGTTTTCAGGCAACCTAGGCGATAATCGGATCGCACGCCAACAATGCCGTTCACCGAAGGGGTGTCCGCCGCCGGGGCCGACACAATTGAACAGTTGGCTGCTGCTCTGGAAACGAAAAGATCAGGAGAGCACCTGCTGGCGGTCCAAGCGAGTGCTCAATCTTCCACGACTTCGTCCGGATAAACGCCGAAAAGGCGGGTCTGGTCCAGCCAGCCGTCATATTGCTCGCCATTGACGCGGCACCAGCCGCCGGCACATTCGGTGACTGAAGTCAGAACAAACGGTTCAAGTTCGGCAACGATATCCGCATCGGATTTCGAGCGCGCGCGCAACGGTGTCCTGTTGGTCTTCTCCCAGGGTGTGACCAGCGCGGTCCGGCGGCCGGACAGCAGGGAGTGGAATACCCAGCCAACCTTGCCTTCCCAATCGCGGATACGCCGCCAGTTCTCGAATTCCTGGATGATTTCGACAGGAAGGCCCGACTGAACGAATGTCCAGGCGACGGCATGTTCACGGGACGGACCGACACGGACGTTGACACGATCCGATTTCAGGCTGACAAATCGCGGAACGGGAAGTCCGGAGGTCCCGGTTGTCGTACCTTGTGCGTCAGCAGGGACAGCATTCCAGCTGATTGCCAGGAAAATTGTCAGCACACACAGTAGAAGGCGAAGGCCTGGATTCGAACGGGTCATATTGTCCGGTTGTCCAATTGTTCTTGATCGTTGAGTTGCGTCAAAGCTGTACCGAAAAAACTGCGTGAAAACCACCTTGCCGAATTTGGCTCGTGGGCAATGCGCGGCGATTGAAAGCGATCTCTTGTTTCTGCCGAACCATCTGGTAAGGAAAAGGGTAAGGTCTCATGCGCTCGCGCGACGCGCAGCATCAAAGTGAATCCGTTGTGGTTAACAAATCCCCAACGAAGCGCGAAAGGCAGTAGGTATGGCGAAAAAGAAGCCTGTCGTTGTTGTGACCCGGAAGCTTCCGGAGGTGGTCGAAACCCGGATGCGTGAACTTTTTGAAACGCGTCTCAATGAAAATGACAGGCCCTTCAGCCAGGCAGAGCTGGTGGAAGCTGTCAGAACCGCCGATGTTCTCGTGCCAACGGTGACCGACCGAATCGATTCGTCGGTGCTGTCGCAGGCCGGTGAAAACCTGAAACTGATCGCGAACTTCGGCAACGGTGTCGACAACATCGACGTGGTGACAGCCAATAACCGGGGAATCAACGTCACGAATACACCGGGCGTGCTCACCGAAGACACGGCGGATATGACCATGGCGCTGATGCTGTCCGTCCCGCGTCGACTTGCCACAGGTATCAGCGCTCTGGAAAGCGGGGAGTGGGCCGGATGGTCTCCAACCTGGATGCTTGGCCACCGGATCTGGGGAAAACGGCTTGGCATCATCGGCATGGGCCGGATCGGCCAGGCAGTCGCCCGCCGCGCAAAGGCATTCGGCATGTCGATCCACTACCACAACCGCCGCCGGGTTGCCGACGAGATCGAGGAAGAGTTGGAAGCGACATACTGGGAAAGCCTCGACCAGATGCTGGCACGCATGGACGTGGTTTCGGTTCATTGTCCACATACGCCCGCGACCTTCCACCTCTTGTCTGCCCGCCGCCTGAAGCTCCTCAAGAAGGATGCCTACGTGGTCAACACCGCCCGTGGTGAAGTCATCGACGAAAACGCGTTGATCCGGATGCTCGAGGCAGGTGACCTTGCCGGAGCCGGTCTCGACGTCTTCGAACACGAACCTGCCGTCAATCCGAAGCTTGCCAAGCTGGAAAATGTCGTGCTGCTACCGCATATGGGTTCTGCGACAATCGAAGGGCGTATCGAGATGGGCGAGAAAGTCATTATCAACATCAAGACCTTCATGGATGGTCACCGTCCGCCGGACCGCGTCCTTCCATCCATGCTTTGACGGTCTTCTTCGGAACATTCCGTGGCGAATTCGCGATCAAGTGCCCCGTTTCAGGTTCCCGACAGCCTTTTATGGCTCAATAAGAAGGAAGCGGGTGCGTCATGGCTCGAAGCGCTTCCTGATATTTTTGAGGCCGCCTGCCAGACGTTCGGTCTGACCTGTATCGGCCGCCCGTATTCCGGCGGGTGTGTATCCTATGTGGTGCCGGCGCGGCGGAATGACGAAGCCGTTGTTCTGAAGCTTCAATTCCAGCACCGGGAATCCGAATGCGAAGCCCATGCCCTCAAGCATTGGGACGGCAATGGCGCTGTGAGGCTGCTGGACCACGCGCCGGACATTGGTGCGCTGTTGCTGGAGACTTGCGATCCGGGACGGTTTCTTGCCGACGATCCGGAGCCGGACAAGATCGGTGTCATGGCGGATCTGCTCCGCCGATTGCTGGTCCCTGCCGGCAAGCCCTTCCGAACTCTTGTCGGTGAAGCTGACTTGTGGCTTGAAGCGCTTGAGGGTGACTGGGAATCGGCCGGAAAACCGTGCGATTACTACCTTGTTGACGTCGCGCGCGCAGCCTTGAAGGACCTCACAGCGGACGACAACGGAGAGGTCCTGCTCCATCAGGATCTCCACGGGCACAACGTGCTGTCTTCGTCGCGGGAGGCCTGGTTGGCAATAGATCCGAAACCCCTAGTCGGAGATCCGGCCTTTGCCCTCAGTCCGATCGTGCGGAGTTTTGAATTCGGCCACTCCAAAGAGGCCGCCATGTACCGGCTCGATCGGCTGTCGGAAGAACTGGAGTTGGATCGCGAGCGCGCCCGGCTGTGGACGATCGGACAGGCCATGGCCTGGGCATTCGACAGCAGCTATAGCGAACGGCATTTCGAAATAGTTCGGTGGTTGATGGCTGACTAGCAGCTATCGATTATATTTTTGCCAAATCGCGCTTTCACCCATGCCCTCGACAAAAGCCTTGTGTGCCGCATATTCATCATCGGTCAGTCGCGAGGCGAGTGGAACAGGGCGTGGCTTTGCGTTGAATTTGCCGAGTTCTCCGGAAACAGTGGCGCCATTTGAGGAAGCAGCCTGCTCTTCTTCCGGCATCAGACCACGCGCGGTCTGACGACCACCGATGAGTTCCAGATAGACTTCCGCGAGGATTTCAGCGTCGAGCAGGGCGCCGTGCTTGACGCGCCTGGAATTGTCGATGCCATAGCGGGAGCAAAGGGCATCGAGGGAGTTCGGGCCGGTCGGGTGTTTTCGACGGGCAATTTCCAGCGTGTCGAGCACCTGGGTGTTCGGAATGGTGCGTCGACCTGCTTTCTTCAGTTCTTCGTTGATAAAGCCCATATCGAACGCAGCGTTGTGAATAACGAGCGTCGCATCACCCACGAATTCCAGAAACTCGTCGGCAACATGCGCGAACAAAGGCTTGTCTGACAGAAACTCCTCAGAAAGACCATGTACGCGAAAGGCTTCTGCCGGCATGTCGCGCTGGGGATTGATATAGACGTGATAGGAGTTGCCGGTCGGAATGTGATTGAGAAGCTCCACACCGCCGATCTCCACCAACCGGTCACCACCTCGGGGATTAAGTCCTGTCGTTTCCGTGTCGAAGGAGATCTCGCGCATTGTTTGCCTTTTCACTTTGATCCTAGTGTGCAGCGTGGCCAGCCCGACGCAAGAGCGACAGTTGGTTTTCCCCGGTGTTCGGGAAAATTTCAGGCTACGACGCCCAACTCCTGCAGAATTTCGTCAACCCGTTGCCCGGCAATCGCCAATCCCTGACCCGTATCGATCAGAAAGTCGGCGCGACCGCGCTTTTCGGCATCGGGCACCTGTGTCTCCAGGATCGCCTGAAAGCGCTCCTCGGTCATGCCGTCCCGGGCAAGAACACGATCGCGCTGGATATCCGCATCGGCGGATACCACGACAACGACATCGACCCTTGTCTCAGCCCCGGTCTCAAACAGAAGGGGAATGTCCATCAGAACAGCGGAATGGCCGTCCATCCTGGCGAGGTCAAGAAACACCTGTTCTTCTTCGTGCACCAGGGGGTGGACAATGTCTTCGAGACGTTTCATGGCTTCAGGATTGCCGAGGACCTGTTTCGACAGCAACGCCCGATCAACCTTGCCATCAACGATGGTGCCGGGAAATGCATCGCCAATCAGAGGCACGCCACGGCCTTCGTAAAGCGCATGAACGCAGGCGTCGGCATCATGAACCGGGACACCGCGTTCAGCGAACATCTTCGCGGTTGTCGATTTACCCATGCCGATGGACCCTGTCAGACCAATCCTGATCATACGTTCACCCCAAGATCCTTCAACACCAATGCGCGCAAGTCATCTGTGACTTCCGGTCTGACGCCAAACCAGCGCTCGAATCCGGGAACCGCCTGATGGAGAAGCATGCCAATTCCATCAACCGTCGGATTTCCCTGCACCGCTGCCTGTTTGAGCAACTCCGTTTCGAGAGGAGAATAGACGATGTCGTTGACGAGCGCATGGCGCGGCAAATTCGAAAGATCTATTTCCAACGGCTGTTTTCCCGTCATGCCAAGCGATGTCGTGTTCACCAACAGGTCCACTTTTCCAAGCAGGGTCCCCAGGCTTTCCCAACCGTGAGCAAACGTTTTGGAACCAAATTCATCGCAGATTTTTCGCGCTTTTTCTTCGGTTCGGTTGACAACATGCACAGCTGTGAAGTCTCGGGACAGGAGCGCCCAGACGATCGCACGTGCTGCGCCACCGGCCCCCAGAACCAAAGCGGTTCCTTGCGAGCGATTCCAGCCCGGCGCCAGTTGATCGAGATTGCCCAAAAATCCCATACCGTCGGTATTGGCACCACAAAGCCGGCCGGTTTCGTCCAGCCAAAGGGTATTCGCAGCACCCATGGTCCGCGCCGTTTCATCCAGCCACTCACAGGCGCTTGCAGCTATTTCCTTGTTCGGCACCGTGACATTGGCGCCCACCAGGCCGGCGCTCCGCAGATTTCGATAAAAGTCACTTGCAGCTTCCGGAGCGACATCGATGCGACCGTATTCTCCGAGAATTCCGTGTTGCTCCAACCAGTATCCGTGAATGAGCGGCGACCTGGAGTGGGCAACCGGGTGGCCCGTAACTGCAGCTTTTTTCGCAACCGCGCTCATGTCTCGATAACCTTGAGCGTGCGGAGTTCCGCCAGCAAAGGAAGCATTGGCAGGCCCAGAATGGTGAAATAGTCACCTTCGATCTTTTCAAAAAGCTGAACGCCAAGGCCTTCCAGCTGATAAGCGCCGACGCTTGAAAGCACGTCGTCACCGGCCGCGGCAAGATAGTGCCCTATGAATTCGGGTGTCAGGTCACGCATGGTCAAGCGGGCGGTTGAAACCTGGCGCCAGACCGCTTCACCATTTTGCGAAATCACGACTGCGGAGTGCAATTCATGGGTCTTGCCGGAAAATGCGAGCAACTGCCGTCGGGCTGCTTCCATATCGTCGGGTTTGGTCCTGCGTTCGCCCTCGAAAGCCAGGATCTGATCCGCTCCGACGACGAGATCAGCCTGCCTGCGTCCGCTGACATCATTTGCCTTGGCTTCCGCCAGAACGCTGGCAAGATCTTCGGGTGGAAAGCCCGCCTCGAGAAGCGGTGCCTCTACCGCCCGTTCATCGACGTCAGCCGGGTCGATCTCAATCACAAGACCTGCATTTTCCATCAGTTCAGCGCGGATTTTGCTGCCGCTCGCCAGAACGAGTGCCATTTTCCCTCTCAGATGTCTGTTCGGTTGAACCGGTCTAGATCGAATCTCCGGTTTCTGCCTTGAAGCCCTTGAATTTCGTCAGAATTTCAGCAGCCGTTTCTTCCACCGAACGGCGCGTCACGTCAATCAGCGGCCAGCCGTTTTCCGAACAGAGCCGCCGGGTCATGTTGATTTCCTGCGAAATTTCCTTCCGGTCGACATAGGTGTCGTTGTAACCCTCTGAATTCAAAGACAGAACCCTGTTACGCCTGATCTGCTGGATACGCTCAACGGATGCGATCAGACCGACAATCATCGGTCCTTTCAGTGCCTTCACATGATCCGGAAGGGGAATACCGGGAACCAGCGGAACATTTGCTGCCTTGATGCCACGATTGGCCAGATAGATGCAGGTCGGTGTCTTGGATGTTCTGGAAATGCCGATCAGGACAATATCGGCTGATTCCAGATCGTCCCAGACCTGACCGTCATCATGCAGCATCGTGTAGTTGAGGGCCTCCATCCGCCGGAAATATTCGGCGTCGAGTTCATGTTGCCCGCCGACACGGTGGGTTTGCGTCACGTTGAGGTAGGATTGGAACACGGCGAAGACCGGATCCAGGATATTGACGAAGGGAATACCAAGTTCCCGGCATTTCCTTTCCAACCGACTGGCGATTTCGTCATCCACGAGCGTGTAAAGGACGATACCAGGCGCGTTTTCAATTTCCGAAATGACCCGGTCCAGCTGTTTCGACGAGCGGACGAGCGGATAAACATGCTCTATTTCCTGCACGTTTTCATATTGAACCGTCGCGGCACGGGCGACCGTCATCAGGGTTTCACCGGTCGAGTCGGACACGAGATGCAGATGAAAATAGTGTCTCGACTTGTTCACGATGTCATCCCCAGGGCTGTTGAAGAATTGGGAGTTAAGTCCCAGATTGAGTGCGTAGCACGAAGTTTATGCCCGCTCAGCAATATTTGTTAACAATCCTTTAACGCGCGGAAACTGACTCCGAAACGATTGTGCGTTGATGTGGATTCACAATCAGGCTGTGACATATCGACAGATTTTCCACCTGCTCGCAATTCCTTAACGAAAGGTAAACACGCTTCCAAGTAGCTGGATTCAATTCATAAATCAGTTTATCGACTCTTGGGGAAGGATTCTTTCGCTGTCTTTGTGTGATTTATCCCGCCAGGAATTTTGCGCAAACGCATTGTGGATAGAAAATGATCCCTGTAATCCACGCGCAATAAATAAAAACAGATTCAAAATAAGAATCTTGTTTGGTTTGAAATGTGGGAAAGGCGCTACCTCATGAAATCCCAAGATAGAGCCGTTATGCGGGTTCTCTCAGGAGAAAAGATCTGGCCGCCTCCCATCTGGATGATGCGTCAGGCCGGACGGTATCTTCCCGAATACCGGGAAGTCCGGAAGAACGCTTCCAACTTCCTGGACTTCTGTTACTCCCCCGATCTTGCAACTGAAGTCACACTGCAGCCGATCCGCCGGTATGGTTTTGATGCGAGTATTCTGTTTTCGGATATCTTCGTCGTCCCCGATGCAATCGGATACCCTGTCCGTTTTGAAGAAGGACGTGGTCCGGTTCTGGAGCCACTGTCTTCAGACCTTCTTGATCGTCTGGAACAGGACAGGGCCGAGGATCATCTGAAACCCGTCATGGAGACCGTTTCGCGTCTTCGGGCGGAACTCCCTGACGAAACAACGCTGCTTGGCTTCTGTGGAGCTCCCTGGACGGTTGCCTGCTATTCCGTTGCCGGACACACGACGCAGGATCAGGTTGCCGCACGTGTCGGGGCCTATCGTGATCCGGACCTCATGCAGCGGTTTGTCGATCAGCTTGTCACCGCGTCCATCAGATACCTGATCCGACAGCTGGATGCCGGCGCCGATGCGGTGCAGATATTCGACACCTGGGCCGGAGTTCTGGATGATGCCGGGTTCCGTCGCTGGTCGATCGAACCAACCAAAAAGATCGTTGATGGCGTGCGGGCCATCCGGCCTGACGCGAAGATCATCGGTTTTCCAAAGGCGTCTTCAGCAAGAATAATGACCTTCATCGAGGGAACTGGTGTTGATGCCGTCGGTTTCGACTGGACTGCTCCTGATCATCTTGCGCTCGACATCCAGAAAAAAGTTCCGATCCAGGGGAATCTCGATCCGATGCGGCTGGTTGCTGGTGGCAAGGCTCTTGAAGATGGAGTTGCCCACATTCTGGAAACATTTGACACGGGACCCCTGATCTTCAATCTCGGGCACGGGGTTACACCGGATGCGGATCCCGACAATGTCAAACGTATGGTCGAACAGGTCCGGAGAGGCTGAATAATGGATCTGTTCCTTTGGGTAAAATCGCTGCATGTGATTTCGATAATCGCCTGGATGGCGGGCATGCTTTATCTGCCGCGACTGTTCGTCTACCACGCCGAGGCCGAGGTCGGCTCCGAGAAGTCGGAAACGTTCAAGGTGATGGAACGCAGGCTGCTGAAAGCGATCATCAATCCGGCAATGGTTGCGTCCTGGATTTTCGGGCTGTGGGCAGCTTATGAGCTGTCTGCGTGGCAAGACGGATGGTTCCATGCAAAACTGACGCTGGTGCTCATCATGTCTGGTGTTCATGGTTATCTCAGCAAATGCGTGAAAAACTTTGCGGCGGACCAAAACACCAAACCGGCAAGGTTTTACAGGATCCTGAATGAAGTCCCGACCGTGCTGATGATCTGCATTGTCATACTGGTGATCGTCAAACCTTTCTGACTGATTTGAAAACAGGCGATGTCGTGGGGATTGTGGTTTCGCGGCTGTCTTCAACTCGCCGATTTGCAAGCAATTGCGAGCCCGGGAAACCAGCAGATTTGTGGGCTTGCGATTCATTTTAAAACAAAGTATCTTCGCGCCACTTCAAATCGGTGCAGTGTTGGTTTCAATTCGATACGTTTCACCGAACAATCTGGACACGTCTAAAAGTCTCTCAGATATCTTCTGGCCGACCCATCACCCCCGGCACGGAACGACCCTCCCAATTTCATCCCTAAAAAAAGACAGACCCAAACTCGATGCGGGAAATGAAACTCAAAGACCTAAAAGCAAAAACACCGACCGAGCTATTGCAAGCTGCCGAGGAGCTCGAAGTCGAAAACGCGAGCACCATGCGCAAGCAGGAGCTGATGTTCGCTATTCTGAAAAACCTGGCTGCGCAGGATGTCGAAATTATCGGCGAAGGCGTTGTGGAGGTCCTGCAGGACGGTTTTGGCTTCCTGAGATCTCCGGACGCCAACTATCTGCCTGGACCGGATGACATTTATGTCTCTCCCTCTCAGATCAGGCGTTTTTCGTTGCGGACAGGCGATACGGTCGAAGGACAGATTCGCAGCCCGAAGGAAGGAGAGCGGTATTTCGCCCTTCTGAAGGTCAATACGATCAACTTCGAAGATCCCGAAAAAGCCCGTCACAAGGTTCACTTCGATAACCTTACGCCGCTCTATCCGGACGAACGATTCCGGATGGAGATTGAAGATCCCACCATCAAGGATCTGTCATCGCGGGTAATCGATCTGGTCGCACCGCTCGGCAAAGGCCAGCGTGCCCTGATCACGGCGCCTCCGCGGACAGGTAAGACTGTATTTCTGCAGAATATTGCCAAATCCATTACCAACAATCATCCGGAGTGCTACCTGATCGTTCTTCTGATCGACGAACGGCCGGAAGAAGTCACCGATATGCAGCGTACGGTGAACGGAGAGGTTGTTTCCTCAACCTTCGACGAACCGGCGTCACGTCACGTGCAGGTCGCAGAAATGGTGATTGAAAGGGCCAAACGTCTGACCGAACACGGTCGGGACGTTGTCATCCTGCTTGATTCCATCACGCGTCTCGGACGCGCCTACAACACTGTTGTTCCATCGTCAGGCAAGGTTCTGACCGGGGGTGTCGATGCAAATGCGCTGCAGCGTCCAAAACGGTTCTTCGGTGCGGCCCGAAATATCGAAGAGGGCGGGTCGCTGACGATCATCGCGACGGCCCTGATCGATACAGGCAGCCGCATGGATGAAGTCATCTTCGAAGAATTCAAGGGAACCGGTAACTCTGAAATTATCCTTGACCGCAAGATTTCCGACAAACGCGTCTATCCGTCGATCGATATTCAACGTTCCGGAACTCGTAAGGAAGAACTTCTCGTTCCCCATGAGCGTCTCAAGAAGACATTCGTGTTGCGTCGTATCCTCAACCCGATGGGTACCGTCGATGCGGTCGAGTTCCTTCTCGACAAGCTGAAACAGACCAAGTCCAATGATGAGTTCTTCGACAGCATGAATACCTGATACTTTTTGAAAGAAACTGTTTGGCAAGGCGCGAACCGGCAGGTTTGCGCCATTACCTTTGGTAGTCCTGTTTCACGTGAATCCGTCTGAACCTGTTGAATCGGAACCGTTCTGATGACCCGAAACATTTTCCTTGAGACCGATCGTCTGTTGCTTCGTGCCTGGGAGGAAACGGACATTGAACCATTCGCGGAGATTTGTGCGGATCCGGAGGTAATGCGGTATTTTCCCGATGTCATGAGCCGAGAAAAATCGGAATTTCTGGTTTCCAGGTGTGTTGTTAAGCAAGACAGGGACGGTTTCTGTATGGCTCCCGTCGAGATCAAGGAGTCGGGAGAATTTCTCGGATTCGTCGGATTGAACCGACCGAGTTATGCCGCACCGTTGCCTTTTGAACCCTGTGTCGAGATTGGCTGGCGGCTTAAACAAACCTGGTGGGGCAAAGGATATGCAAGCGAGGCAGCGAACGCCTGGCTTCGATTCGGTTTTGAAACCATCGGGCTCGATGAGATCGTTGCATTTACAATTCCTGCCAACAAACCCTCCAGGCGGGTCATGGACCGAATAGGCATGCGCAGGGACCTGGATGGAGACTTTCTACATCCGTCTTTACCTGCGGATCATCCAGTGGCCCCGCATGTCTTGTACAGGTTGTCAAAACGCGACTGGATTTCGCAGCAGGGTGAATAAGGCCAGTCGCGCCGATTCACGTGAAACACGATACGGTCACAAGACAGTATCTCCGGTTGACGTGCATCGTCCCTATCAATATCGATTCGCTTCCGAACCAACAGGAAGACAGATCGGGAATTGTTTCCCATCTCTCAAGACGCTTTCTGTCATTCTATACAGGATCCAGTTGTTCAAGACTATCGGTCGTTCGTTTCAGTCCGATCGAACTTGATTGATTCACGTGAAACATTCGCCAAGGCGTTTCACAGTTGTCCTTCACCTCAGCATCCGCATTTGATTCGTCTGCGGAACATTGAACAAGGGGTGGTACCGCGGACCGGCCAATCGGTTCGAGGGAAGAGCTGCCTTGCCGTTTGAGAGCACCTTTCAGTTTTCGCACCTGTTTGCTAAAGAGGCGAACTCACACATTGAAGTTGGGAGTATTTGTACTTTCCCAAAAACTCTCCCGGAAAGAAAACCATGGCAGAAACGATCTTTGCACTTTCAAGCGGCGCGGTGCCTTCGGGGGTGGCTGTCATTCGTGTTTCGGGTCGTGAAACCAGAATGGTTCTGGGAAAGATCTGCGGAAGGGTTCCGGACGCCCGGAAGGCATCGGTTACCAGGCTGAAAGATCCGGCAACCGGAGAGGTGCTCGACGAAGCACTGGTTTTGTTTTTCGAGGGTCCGAGGAGTTTTACCGGCGAAGACGTTGCTGAACTTCACTGCCATGGCGGCAGAGCGGTCGTTGGCAAGGTGCTCAGTGAGTTGGGGAAGTTTGAAAATTGCAGACCTGCGGAAGCAGGCGAATTCACGCGGCGGGCTTTTTATCATGGTCGGATGGACTTGACGGAAGTTGAAGGCCTTGCAGACCTGATTGCGGCTGAAACGGAAAGCCAGAGGAAACAGGCTGTCCGGCAGATGGGCGGTGCGCTCGGTGAGCTTTATGAAGGCTGGCGCTCAAGGCTGATCCATATGCGTGCGATGATCGAGGCCGATTTTGACTTTGCCGATGAAGAGGATGTGCCCGGCAGCGTCGCAGATGAGGTCTGGTCGGAAGCCGCGGCCCTCCATGGCGAGATTGCAATCCATCTGGACAAGTCGAAAAGCGGAGAACGCCTGCGTTCCGGATTGCAAGTCGTTCTCATGGGTGCGCCGAATGCCGGCAAATCCAGTTTGCTGAATGCCATCGCCGGTCGGGATGTCGCCATTGTCACAGAAGAAGCGGGGACGACGCGTGACGTCATCGAGGTTCATCTCGATCTCGGAGGATATCCGCTTACGCTGGTCGATACCGCCGGACTTCGGGACGCACTAGGAGTTGTTGAAAGGGAGGGGATCCGCAGGGCACAGGCCAGGGGACAGGAAGCTGATCTGATCCTTTGGGCGATGGAACTGGATGGTGTGCCTTATGATGATCCTGTCAGCGGTCTTCCGGAAGAGTTAAGGGAAAAGATCCCACTCTGGATCGTTCGAACGAAAAGCGATCTTGTGACCCTTCCGGAACAAGACTCTTCCGGAACAATCAAGGAAATCTCCTGTTCGGACAGAAATGAAGAAGGTGTCAAGATGCTAATCAGCGCCCTGACACGTTTTGCCGAAGAAACGATTTCCCTCGGTGAAGCACCACTTGCAACGCGTGAACGGCACCGGCATTACCTGTCAAATTGCCTGACGGGTTTGAAAACGGCGGTGCATGCCAACCATCTGCCGACAGAATTGCGGGCTGAAGACCTGCGGCGCGCTGCTGATGCACTCGGTCGGATTACTGGACGAATTGACGTGGACGATCTCCTGGATGTCATCTTCCGGGACTTTTGTATTGGCAAATGATGTTTCACGTGAATCAAGTCTACCCATGGATCGATTCTGTACCGGAACATGTTTCACGTGAATCATCAGCCTCATGATCCGCTACCCAGGAGTTGACGGAATTTCCAGGATTCGTCCAATCGAATTCCGCTTTGACCCAGATGGCGTCTCGCATTATAACGGCGCACAGGAACTGCCGGTTTAGACCGCATATGATAGTCCGGCATGATGCCGGCGACCGATCCCTGAAAATGATCTGGATATTACCGGGTGCTTGTCTGAAGTGCCTGTGTGGACGGTGAGACCATGAGTGACCAGAAACTGAAATTCGACGTTGTGGTGATTGGCGGCGGTCATGCGGGCTGTGAAGCAGCGGCGGCGTCCGCGCGTGCTGGTGCATCGACCGCACTCGTTACTCACAAGTTCGAAACGATTGGGGTGATGTCCTGCAACCCGGCGATTGGCGGTCTTGGCAAGGGGCATCTGGTTCGCGAGATAGATGCACTTGATGGTCTGATGGGCCGGGTCGCGGATCAGGGCGGCATTCAGTTCCGCATGCTCAACCGGCGCAAAGGTCCGGCCGTCCGGGGTCCGCGTGCGCAGGCAGACCGCAGACTTTACCGTGAAGCCATGCAGCGCGAGATTGCCGGCATCGAAAATCTGACGGTTGTCGAAGGCGAAGCCCACAAGATCCGCTTTGCAGGTGACGGACCAAGCTCTGCTGTTTCAGGGATTGATCTTGCCGACGGTCGCATTGTGTCCTGCAAGGCAATCGTATTGACCAGCGGTACCTTCCTGCGCGGGCTAATTCATATTGGTGACAGGAAGATACCGGCAGGCCGTTCAGGCGAGGCGCCCGCTCTGGGGCTGTCGGCATCCCTTGAAGAGATCGGCTTTGAACTCGGGCGTCTCAAGACCGGCACGCCGGCGCGACTTGATGGTCGAACAATCCACTGGGATCGCCTGGAGGAGCAGCCTGGCGATGACGATCCGGTTCCGTTTTCAACATTGACCGACAGGATCGAAACCCCACAGATTCCGTGCCATATCACCCGAACCACTCCTGAGACCCATAAAATCATCCAGGACAATCTTTCCCGTTCCGCCATGTATTCAGGGGAGATAAAAGGACGGGGGCCGCGATACTGTCCTTCGATCGAGGACAAGATCGTTCGGTTCGGCGAAAGAGACGGGCATCAGATCTTCCTTGAACCGGAAGGACTTGATGATCACACCGTTTATCCCAACGGCATATCGACTTCGCTTCCGGAAGACGCGCAACTCGCATTTTTGAAAACCATTCCAGGTCTCGAGGACGTGACGGTTATTCAGCCTGGTTACGCGATCGAGTACGATCATGTGGATCCGCGCGAGCTTCGTCCGACACTGGAGGCGAAACGCTGCCCGGGGCTTTATCTAGCAGGTCAGATCAATGGAACGACAGGGTATGAAGAAGCAGGGGCGCAGGGGCTTGTTGCCGGTGTCAATGCCGCGTTTCAGACAGCAGGCAAGGAACCCTTTGTCGTAGACCGGTCGCAGGGATACATCGGTGTGATGATCGACGACCTCGTGACGAGGGGTATTACCGAACCGTACCGCATGTTCACGTCAAGAGCGGAATACCGTTTGTCGCTGCGGGCCGACAATGCGGATCAGCGATTGACTCCGCTCGGAGTGGAAAGGGGTTTTGTGTCCGATACCAGACGTCTGGCATTTGACACCAAGATGGCGAAGATCGAGCAAGCCCGCGATCTTCTTGAAACCCTTTCGGTGACGCCTACGGAAGCACGGAAAAAGGGATTGCCTGTGAACCAGGACGGAATTCGCCGGTCTGCGTTTGATCTGCTGTCCTACCCGAATGTGACCTATGAGAGGCTCACAACGATCTGGCCGGAGCTTGGTGCGGTCGACCGGGGAATAGCGGAGCAAGTTGCGACTGATGCCCTCTACGCCGTATACCTCGACAGACAGATGGCGGATATCGAAGCATTGAAGCGCGACGAAGCCTTGCGAATCCCCGATGATTTCGACTACGAAGCGATTGTCGGATTGTCCAACGAGGTGAAACAGAAGCTGATCGATGTTGGACCAGCAACGCTTGGGCAAGCGTCACGAATGGACGGCATTACGCCTGCTGCACTGACATTGATCCTGTCCCATCTCAAGCGCAGTTCCCGCAAGGGAGCCGCCTGATGGCGCGGCCGGTGGTGTTGAACGACACTGGACAGATTGTGCATAAGTATGGGGATGTTTCACGTGAAACTTTGGAAAGACTCCAGATCTATGTGGACCTTGTACTGAAGTGGCAGCCTGCGCAAAACCTTATCGCACCGTCCACTATTGCGGATATCTGGACACGGCATGTTGCCGATAGTCTGCAGACCCAGTGGCTCGATCCTGCAGCCCGTGTATGGGTGGATATCGGTAGCGGAGGAGGTTTTCCGGGTATTGTCACCGCGATCCTGCTGGCAGACGAACCGGATGCGCATGTGCATCTGATCGAAAGCAATCAGCGCAAGGCTGCGTTTCTGCGCACTGCACTCCGGGAAACGGGCTCGACCGGTACTGTCCATCCGGGACGTATCGAATCGGTGGCGAAAGACTGGAGACATGGCCCGGTCGATGCCATTTCGGCTCGTGCCCTGGCCTCTCTCGACCTGCTTTTTAGCCTGTCAGAACCGTTTACAGCGGCGGGAGCGGGTGCTGTTTTCCACAAAGGTCAGGATTTTCAGAGAGAAGTTAACGAAGCCTCTGACGCTTGGAACTTCGATCTGGTAGAAAAGGTAAGTCTTGTAGATCCTGTGAGCCGGATGCTTGTTTTCTCAAATATATCAGCCCGGACGGACTAACCAGGAAAGTGTCGTGGCAATGAGCATGCTTCCCGAAACACCTCGCGTCCTCGCGCTCGCGAACCAGAAAGGCGGGGTGGGAAAGACCACGACCGCCATCAACCTCGGCACAGCGCTGGCGGCAATCGGGGAAAAGGTGCTGGTCATCGATCTCGATCCCCAGGGCAATGCGTCCACCGGTCTGGGCATTGAACATCGCGACCGGGGGTTGTCTACCTATGAAGTCCTGAGTGGAGACTGCTCGCTGGCCGAGGCTGTGCGGGAAACAGCGGTGCAACGGCTTTGGGTGGCTCCGTCGACGATGGATCTGCTCGGCCTTGAGCTTGAGATTGCATCAACGAGTGACCGCGCTTTCCGCCTTCGCAACGCGATCGAGAATCTGACGCGCTCACGTCTGTTCCAGGAAGTCAGCTTCACCTATGTCCTGGTCGATTGTCCGCCATCGCTTAACCTTCTGACAATCAATGCACTTTCGGCATCGCATTCGATTCTTGTGCCACTTCAGTGTGAGTTCTTTGCGCTTGAGGGCCTTAGCCAGTTGCTCAGCACGGTTGAACAGGTCAGGGACGCATTGAATTCAGAACTCAGTATTCATGGCATCGTGCTCACCATGTATGACAGCCGCAACAATCTTTCCAGCCAGGTTGTTGCCGATGTTCGCGAGACGATGGGCGATGCGGTTTACGAGACAATCATTCCGCGAAACGTTCGTGTTTCCGAAGCACCATCTTATGGCAAACCGGCGTTGCTTTATGATCTGAAATGCGCCGGGAGCCAGGCCTATCTTCGGCTGGCGTCCGAAATCATTCAACGGGAACGTGAATTGCGCCGCGTGGCTGCCTGACTGCCGCCGTGATGCGTTTCCTGATTGAATTCAGGTTTGTGACGGCGTGAAAGGCCTTGCTGTCACAAGCTAATCTTTTGAAATATAAGAAGAAAATGGTGCGTTATGGCTGACAAGGACGTCAAGAACAAACGTTTGGGTAGAGGTCTGGCTGCTCTGATCGGAGACTCGGCTCCTGAAGCTGTGGCAACCCCGGAGAAAGTCGTTCGGGACAGCCGCAGGGTTCCTATCGAACACCTTGAGCCGAATCCTCGCAATCCACGCAAGACCTTTACGGAGAAGGATCTTGGCGACCTCGCGGAATCGCTGAAAGCGAAGGGAATCGTTCAACCGATCCTGGTGCGCCCGGCAGCAGGAAAAACCAACCGCTTCGAGATTATTGCCGGCGAGCGACGCTGGAGGGCCGCGCAGCGGGCGGGGCTGCATGAAGCCCCGATTATCATTCGCGACGTTACCGATCAGGAAGCGCTCGAACTTGCGATTATCGAGAACGTGCAGCGTGCTGACCTCAATCCGATCGAAGAAGCAATGGGTTACGATCAGCTGACCGCTGAGTTCAAGTATAGTCAGGGCGAACTGGCGAAGGTTATCGGCAAGAGCCGCAGCCATGTCGCCAACACGATGCGGCTTCTGAAACTTCCGAATTCTGTCAAGGATTACCTCGCCGAAGGCCTGCTGACGGCTGGCCATGCGCGTGCGCTGATTACTGTTGATGATCCGGCCGCGCTCGCCGAACTGATTGTTGAGAAGGGCCTGACCGTTCGGGATGCTGAAAAGATTTCACAGGACCCGGCAGCCCTTGCGAAGCTGAAGGGTGAAAAAGCCCCAAGCGAAAAGCCCCAGAAGGATGCGGACACCAAGGCGCTGGAAAAACGCTTGACCGACACCTTGGGCCTGAAGGTGGTTGTTGGACACAAACCGGGAAAAGATTCCGGAGATCTCAAAATCAAGTACACCTCATTGGAGCAGCTTGACGAGATCTGCAGGAAACTTGGTGTCGAAACACGCTAAGTATCTGAAAAGATAGATATTTCTATCAAACTGACTTTGCGTTTGTACCCTTTTGCCTGGTTGCGTGCGACTTGACCGAAGAGGATGCGCGATTTTGGAATCGGTCATGGATCCGCATTTCAACGCCGTTGGGCGCGCGCCCTTGCGACTCTTCCCAGTGTCAGTAGTGCCTCGGAGAGAACCGGTACACCGAGCGGATCATTGAGGCGAGAAATCTTCGTGGCTTCCGCGAGGATTTCCATTGCCCGTTCCAGATCGGCGAGCGACCAGATACGAAGCTGTTGCGCGAGTTTGGGCTTGCGGCTGAAGAAAACAGGGGGACGCTGTCCGTCGATAACTGCCTGTGCGTTCTTTCCCTTGTCGACATCGATCCGCATTCGGTGAAGATGCTGAAAATGCTTCAAGGCCTGGTTGGCGATGACGGACGCTTTTGATCCGGCTTCGGAAAGCCGTTCAAGTCCATGGTCGAGGAGCGCGATGTCTCCTGAGGCTGCGGCATCAATAAGTTCTGACATCTCGAAGGATGATGCATCGCCGATGATCGCTTCGATATCTTCGCTGTCTATCCGGCCCTTGCCGAGCGCATAAAGGCAGAGCTTCTTGAGCTCTCCACGGCTGGCCATCCGGTCTCCACCAAGAAGGCTGTGCAGGGCACCACGGGCCTCACGGGTGATGGACAGTCCGGCTTCCCTGATTTCCTCGTCGATCAGCTGGTCGATGCCGCGATCATTGTCCGCATAACAGGGCAGTGCGACGGCGCGCCTGTGTGTTTCGATCAGCTTTCTGAGACCGACACCTTTCTTGATGTCTCCGCCTTCCAGCACGACAAATGTCTGCCAGTCGTCCAGCTTCAGGACAGGATCAAGCGCAGGGGTGAGATTCTTGCCGCCGGCATCCTTGACCCAGACAATCCGGCGCCCACCAAAGAGTGGAATGGTCAGAACCTCGTCAATCAGTCGATTCGGATCCGAAGCGAGTTCCGAAGCATCGATCTTGATCAGATTGAAGGGGTCGCTGTCGCCTTCCGTGGCCTTGGCCACGAGCCGTGTCGCCCGTTCCGATACAAGGCCAGTGTCAGGTCCGAATATCAGAACCACAGCACCGCTGTCGGGGGGATTGGCGATGAACCGGTCAATTTCTGCGGCTTTCAGGGCGGTCACAATCCGTTACCTCCCGCCGGGCTCTCAGGATCGACTGGCAAAATAGCCCGCAAGGCGGGTTGCGATATCGTCGGCAACCGCCTTCGCAATCCGTTCCTGTGCGTCCCGGAGCGCGCGCTGGTTGGCAAAGCGCTGACTGGAGAAGTCATAGGATGCCGATCTGAATGTCCGGCCGGTTGGCAGGGTTTCGTCCGTCTCGATATCACTCAGGACATAAGTCGAGTTCATGGTGATCGTGAAGGCGGACGGAACGTCTGCGAACTGTTCCACGCCAACCGCCGCATTGTTCACATCGACCAGGATCTCAAGCCGGAACTTCTTTGCCACGGACCCTGCGCCGCGCTCCAGCCTGAAGGTAAGCTCGTTGTTGAGAACCCTTGCCGACTCCTCATTGGCGAACCGGGCCGAGATCGACTCAAGTTCGATTGCCGCAAGATCTGCGGCGACCGGGGAAGATTGCGCTCCGAAATCACCGGTCGTGCTGGTGCCGTAAAGCGGGCGAATTTGGCACCCGCTCAAGATGACGGCCGCCAGGAAGGCGGAGCAGAGGGCGGCTCGCCGCAAGTTGTTTTCGCTTTTCAAGATGTTGCTAAACAACGACATTCACAATCCTCTGCGGCACGACGATGAGTTTCCTGGGCGCGTTGCCCTGCAGCGCCTTTCGAACGAAATCCAGAGCCAAGGTAGCTGCTTCGACCTCTTCTTTGGAAGCTTCTTTTGCAATTTCCAGTTCACCGCGGCGCTTGCCGTTGATCTGGATTGGGTAAGTGACCGAATCCTCGGCCAGCAGGGCCGGGTCGGCGACCGGCCACTTGGCCTCGGAAATCAGATTGCCGTGACCAAGAGCGGACCAGCATTCCTCGGCAAGGTGCGGCATCATTGGCGCCATCATCTGGACAAGGTAGTCGGCAGCCTCCCTGATCGCATATTCCATCGAAGAGTCTTCGATATCGTTACCAACGGTCTTGCTGATCGTGTTGACGAGTTCGTACAGCCGCGCGACCGCCCTGTTGAACCCGAGCGATTCCAGATCATTGGAAACAGCTGCCAATGTCTTGTGGCTCGCACGCCGCAGCTCAAGAACCGCGCCGGAGGCTTCCGGTGCGGAGCCGGCCCTAGGTTCGATTGATTCGGAAATCTCGCTGATCAGGCGCCAGACGCGCTGAACAAAGCGCCAGGCTCCCTGAACACCGTCTTCCGTCCAGATAACATCACGTTCGGGAGGGCTGTCCGACAACATGAACCAGCGCGCCGTGTCAGCTCCGTATGTGTCGATGATATCGGTCGGATCAACGGTGTTCCTTTTCGACTTCGACATCTTTTCGATTGACCCGATGGCGACGTCTTCACCGGTTTCCAGCAATGTGGCGCGTCGATTTCCGTCAACGTCCTCAATCCTGATCTCGGCCGGAGAAATCCAGGACCCGTTTGCTCCTTCCCCGAGACGGTAAGTCTCATGGGTAACCATTCCCTGGGTGAACAATCCCTTGAAAGGTTCCTTCAGATCGAGTGCGCCGACCTTCTGCATCGCCCGGGTAAAGAAGCGGGAATAAAGCAGGTGCAGGATCGCGTGTTCGATGCCGCCGATATACTGATCGACCGGCAGCCAGCCATTGGCTGCCTCCGGATCCGTCGGCTGGTCGCAATCCGGCGCCGTGAAACGGGCAAAGTACCAGGAAGAATCCACGAACGTGTCCATGGTGTCGCTCTCACGCCTGGCAGCCTTGCCGCATTTCGGACAGGTGGTTTCCCGCCAGGTCGGGTGCCGATCCAGCGGGTTCCCGGGTTTGTCGAAATTGATGTCGTCCGGCAGTTGAACCGGCAGGTTTTCATCCTTTTCCGGAACAACACCGCAATCGTCGCAATGAATGACCGGGATCGGACAGCCCCAGTAGCGCTGGCGCGAAATCCCCCAGTCGCGCAGACGATAGTTGACCTGACGCTCGCCCTGAGGTGCACCGTCGACGTTGACGGCTTCAAGCTTTTGCGCAATTGCTTCCTTCGCATCAGGAATGGACATGCCATTCATGAAATCGGAATTGAAGATCGTTCCGTCGTCCGTAAATGCCTCCGTACCGATTTCAAAAGTTGCCGGGTCCGCATCTTTCGGCAGCACGACCGGCTTGACCGGCAAGCCGTATTTGCGGGCAAAATCCAGGTCGCGCTGGTCATGGGCAGGACAGGCGAAGATGGCACCGGTGCCGTAGTCCATCAGGATAATGTTGGCGACATAGACCGGCAATTCGAGCGAACTGTCGAGTGGATGCCTTACTCTCAATCCGGTATCAACGCCGTTTTTGTCCGCTTTCTCAATAGCTTCCTCCGAAGTGCCGACACGCTTGCATTCATCGATGAAGGCCTTCAGCTCCGGATTGTCTTCCGCAAGCTTTTCCGAAATCGGATGGTCCGGTGACAGGCCCATGAAGGAAGCGCCGAACAGGGTGTCCGGGCGCGTGGTGAAATTTTCCAGTGTCGTGTCGCCGGTCGGCGCAGCCTCGGTGAATTCAAACCGGACGCGCAAGCCTTCGGACCGGCCGATCCAGTTCTTCTGCATCAGGCGGACCTTGTCCGGCCAGCGGTCGAGCGTGTCGATCGCTTCCAGCAGGTCTTCGGAATAATCAGAAATTCTGAAGAACCACTGGGTCAGTTCGCGCTGCTCAACCAGAGCGCCAGAGCGCCAGCCACGGCCGTCGATCACCTGTTCATTTGCCAGGACAGTCATGTCGACCGGGTCCCAGTTCACCTTGGCATTCTTCCGGTAAACCAGTCCGGCTTCCAGAAACCTCAGGAACAAGCGCTGCTGCTGGGTGTAATAACCGACGTCGCAGGTCGCAAATTCCCGGGTCCAGTCCAGCGACAGGCCCATGATCTTGAGCTGGTCGCGCATGGCGGCGATGTTTTCGTAGGTCCAGTCTTTCGGATGCACATTGTTCTGCATTGCCGCATTTTCTGCCGGCATGCCGAAAGCGTCCCAACCCATCGGATGCAGGACATTGAACCCCTTGGCACGCTTGTAGCGTGCCACGACATCGCCCATTGCATAGTTGCGTACATGACCCATGTGAATGCGGCCGGACGGATAGGGGAACATCTCAAGGACGTAGTACTTGTCCCGGGGATCGTCATTGTGTGTGACGAAGACATCCTTGTCGTTCCAGACTTTCTGCCAGCGCGCTTCAACCTCGCGCGCGTTGTACCGTTCCGTTGCCATCAATTGTGCCGTTTGTTCTTGCCGCCGGACCCGGCGGATTTCCTGAATGTTTTCCTGCCGGACTGTCACCAGAAATTGGGTTGCGGGTCAACATGTGACTATAGAAAGACCCCTTGGAAGACTGTTTATTTCGCAATGCCGCATCCGTAAAGCTTTCGGTTCGCCGGATCGGGACGCAAAAGCATGTCGGAAGGACCAAGATTTCAAGGAATTCGCCCCAAGGTAAGTGCATGAAGGTGTCCGGGATTGCCTTTTCTGACCGCGGAAATCGACCGGCAAGCACAAACTGAAGCGACAGCCTTGAGAAGATTGCCCTACAAGGCGTAAGAGAAGTTGAGAAAATTCGTCCATCGTTGCAAAGGGAATATCGATGTCATCCGCCTCAGACCGTCTTTCAGGAGTTCAGGACGATATCCGGCGCGCAGAGGCTGAATTTGGCCGGCGGGAGGGTGCGGTTACGCTGATCGCGGTGTCCAAGACCTTTTTTGCAGATGATATCCGTCCGGTTCTGACGGCCGGTCAGCGGGTATTTGGCGAAAATCGCGTCCAGGAGGCGATGGGGAAATGGCCCGACCTGCGTACGGAGTTCTCCGGTATCGAATTGCACCTGATTGGACCACTGCAATCCAACAAGGCCAAGGAGGCGGTTGCAACATTCGATGTCATCCACACGGTTGACCGGCCTAAAATTGCCAAGGCGCTGAAGACTGAAATGGACAAGCAAGGCCGCAGTCTACCCTGTTTTGTTCAGGTAAACACCGGTGAGGAACCACAGAAGGCAGGCATTGCACCTAAAGATGTCGATGCTTTTGTTGCGGAGTGCCGGGAGATCGTCGGTCTCGATATCAAGGGCCTCATGTGCATTCCACCGGTCGAAGACGCACCGGGGGAGCATTTTGCGCTGCTGGAGAAAATTGCGAAGCGGAATGGGCTGAACCAGCTATCCATGGGAATGTCATCCGACTATCAGGTCGCTGTCGGATTCGGAGCAACCCATGTTCGCGTCGGATCTGCGATTTTTGGCGCGCGAGACTATCCCTGACAATTTGTCAAAGTAGCGTTGGCACGTGGAAACGGCATGAAAGATCAGGATTTTGCGTAAAATTAGGTTGAAATTATGCAAGCTCCATAGCCTGTTTTCCAGATTTAAGTAAACTCATTTTAAATTCGATATATTTTCCCTTATTGATTTATATATATATCAGCCTTTTTCTTGCCGAACACTTTCAAAAGTGACGTGAATATGACTGGCTTGTGTCTGAATACGAAAACCAGTCACAACAATGCCCTGAAGGTTCCAAAGAGCAGCCCTTTGCCTGTCGCGATCCCGCATCAAAGTCCTCCCTGTTCCGGTTCGGCAGGTCGCAGGGGCTTGGCGGACAGACGGAACACTTGGTGGGCATCCCACTCAGATTCCTTCGTAGCAAGGGTCGGGATAGCCTGCTTAGAACCAACAGTTGGAGGTTACATCATGTCCAAACGTCTTACCGCTGCTCTTCTCATTGGTGCTTTCACTGCGTCCACAGCAGCGCTTGCACAGGGCATGTCATTTGAGACGATCGACAGCAACCAGGACGGTTTCGTGAGCTTCGAAGAAATCACAACCGCTGTTCCGGATCTGTCGGAAGACGTTTTCAAGGCAGCAGACGCGAATCAGGACAACCTGCTCGATCCGGCTGAGTTTGCAGCGGTTCAGCCATAATCTCAGCTTCGGGCGATCCTCCCCCCGTAAGCTGCTATTGCAGCGGGGTTGCCTGATTAAGACCACTGCCGGTACGGTCACGCCGGCAGTGGTTTTCCGTGTTCTACAAGCCGGTCAGTCGAGCCAGAAATCCGGCGTGACCAACAGTATCCCCGCGAGTATTTCCAGTCGTCCCAGTATCATTTCGATCGCCAGGAGCCATTTCGCCGGATCCGGAAGGATCTGAAATGTTCCGGACGGTCCGATCGTGTCGCCAATCCCTGGCCCGACATTGGCGAGTGCCGTGATCGAGGCACTCAAGGCGGTCATCAGATCCAGTCCCAGAAAAAGATAGGCAAGCGAAAAGGCCGCATAGGTTCCCGCGTAAAGCACGGCGAATACGAATACCCCTTCCACAACACTGTCCGGCACCGGGTTTCCCTGAAATCTCAGGATCGAGACGCGGTGCGGATGGACCAGGCGGCGCATTACGCCGATCACAACGTTCCAGACAATGGCGATGCGGAACATCTTGAAGCCGCCTGACGTCGATCCGCTGCATCCGCCGAAAAAAGTCAGGATGAAAAAGACGGTGATCACCGCGGGGCCGAATTTCAGATAGTCGTCTGCTGCGTAGCCTGTCGTGCTCACGACCGACACGACATTGAACACTGCCAGCGTGAACATGTGGAACGGTGTGTCATGTGCTGCATAACGCTCGAAATAAAAAACTCCGAGCGCGCCGGCAGTGACAATAGAAAGCATCAGGATGATCTGAATATCCCGCTTGAAGCGCCGGCGTTCCATGCTACGGAGCAGATAGAGAAAGGGGACGCTTGAGAGCAGCATGAAGACAATCGAAACCCAGTACACAGCAATGCCGTGAAATTGTCCGAACGATTGATCGGATGTCGAGAACCCGCCTGTCGAAACAGTGGTCATGGCATGAACCACCGCATTGAACAATGTCATGCCGCAGAACAGGTAAAGCAGCAAGCAAGCAGCCGAAAGACCGCCATACAGCGCCAGCAGCCGGTATACGAATGGCCATGTTCGACCGTAGGGTTTTGTTGCGTGCTCGGATGATTCAAGAACAAACAGCTGACTGCCGCCAATCCTCAGGCCCGGCAACAGCCAGATGCCGACGGCCACACTTCCCATCCCGCCAATCCATTGCAGCAGGGCGCGCCACAGGAGAATGCCGGGAGGCATCTCGTCCAGGCCAGTCAATACGGTCGACCCGGTCGTTGTAAGACCAGAAGCCGTCTCGAACACCGCATCTGCAATCCCGATGTCCAGATCGCTGAAATAGAAGGGAATGGCGCCGGCCAGGGAAAAAACGACCCAGGCGGCATTTACGAAAACGATGGATTCCCGGAAGCGGTGCGGGAATTTTTGCCCGTGAAACGCCAGATTGACGAGAAGACCTGTTGTTCCCAGCGCCAGGGATGATACCAGAAACACCTGCCAGTCGACGTCCGAGGCAACAAGGTCAACGATCGCCGGAATGAACATCATGAGCGAAATGAGAATGAGCAAACGCCCAATCGGCAACGCAATGGCTCGATAGTTCATGGATTGAGATTCCGTTGCGCTCAGGGATCTGTCAAGCTTTCAAGGCGGGGCCGAGGTTTATCCGCCTCGTTTGATGAATTGCAAGCACCGGAGCCGATTTTCGGCGAACCAGCGCTTTTCCCGGCACAAGAGACAATCCGGATTATTGCTAAGCTCAAGTGAAAAATGAGTTTTTGTCATGCATCCCGGGTTTTCACGTCATTGACCGCGGGTTGGTCCTTTGCAAGACTGCCGACCTATTTTTGGGAGGAAATCATGAAAACACTTGCCTGGGCCATGTGTGCGGCTGTCGCACTCGGACTTACGTCGGGAGTTGCGCTTGCCGCCGACACGACGTTGCGCATCTCGTTGCAATTGCCCCTGAAGAGCCACCTTGGCCAGAACCTGCTCCTGTTCAAGGAAGAAGTTGAAAAGAATTCCAGTGGCGACATAGCCGTCGAGATCTATGATTCCGCTCAACTCTACAAGGACAAGGAAGTTCCGGCGGCGGTCGGATCGGGTGCGATTGAGATGGGCGTGGCATCGCTTACGCGCTATGTCGGTGATGTTCCGGCCGTCGATATTTTCTACCAACCGTTTTTATTCGACACCGAAGACAAGGTCCGTGCTGCCGTTGCACCTGGTTCGCCGGTCCGTGGCCCGCTGGATGAGGCGATCAAGGATACGGGCTCAACCGTGCTCTGGTGGCAGGCCTATGGTGGCGCGATCATGCTTTCCAAGGACGGGCCGCTGAAGACGCCGGAAGACATGGAAGGCAAGAAAGTGCGCGTGTTCGGCAAGACGCTCGGCGATTTCGTGACCGCTTCCGGCGGTGCGCCGACCCTGATTTCCGGGTCCGAGCAGTATCTTGCCTATCAACGTGGAACCGTTGATATCGGCATGACCGGCGTGTCCGGGGTCAAGTCCAGGAAACTCTGGGAAGTGATGGATCCCATTACGGTTACCAATCACGCGGATATCGAATTCATCGTCGTCGTGAACACCGATTTCTGGAACGGACTTCCTGAAGAACACCAGGCCATCATTCAGGCAGCTGCCGTGACAGCGGAAAACGACGTGCGTAACCGCATGTCGGAAATCGAGGCTGCGGCCTACGCGGCAGCTGAAGAAAATGGCATGACCGTCTATAGACCGGACGCGGATGAAATTGCAGCCTGGAAGGCCGTCAGCCAGCCGGTTTATGACACCTATTCGGAAAAAGCCGGAGATCTCGGCAAATCTGTCATGGACGCGGCGAAGGGTCTCTGAAAGTCTTACTGAATGAAAGCGCTCCGCGTTCTTCCGGATGCGGAGCGCCTTGATATCCGTTTCGAACAATTCCACCTTCAAAAGTCTGCTTGGTTACCCATGAGAGCGTTTTATGCGCTGCTTCGGATGCTTGCCGGATCAGCGGCCTTTTTGTTCATTCTGGCCGGTTGCATGCTGACCTACGAGGTCAGCGCGCGCTATCTGTTCGTTGCGCCGACGATCTGGGCGGCAGAGCTCTCGCAGCTGTGCCTCATCTGGGGAAGCATGATCGGGATGCCCTGGCTGCTGAAGGCAAATCAGCACATAGCCGTCGATGCGCTGACAATCAGGCTAGGGGACATGGCGCAACGTGTCTGCCGTGTCCTGGCAATGAGTGCAATTGCCCTTTTCAGCGCAATCGTTACCTGGAAAGGCGGAGAGATATTCCTTGATTCCTTTGAACGCGGGCGCACCACGGGATCCATGCTCGACTTGCCAACGTGGATTTCCGAGCTTGCGATACCGGTTGGATTTGCACTGCTGTTCGTCCAGGCGGTCATCGAGCTCGGATCGGCTATCGGGCGTCGGGATCTGGAAGGCGGCACCGCTTCATGACCACTCTGCTGATCCTGGCCGCGCTGTTCGCGCTCCTGCTTATTCGCGTCCCGGTCGCCTTCACGCTTGGCGGTATCGGGCTCGCGATGCTGATATTCGGCGGCTTTTCGCCCTTGATGGCGCCACAGGCGATCCTTTCCACCCTGGACGGGTTCATCCTGCTTGCCGTGCCGCTGTTCCTTCTGATGTCGAACATCCTGCTGAAGGGTGGTGTCGGAAAGGATCTTTTTGCAGCCGTACATGCATGGGTCGGTCACTGGCCCGGGGGCCTGGCCGTCGCGACGAGTCTTTCCTGTGCGATCTTTGCTGCGATTTCAGGCTCATCGGTGGCAACCGCCGCAACCATCGGTACGGTGGCCATTCCCGAGATGATCAGCCGCGGCTACGAGCGCCGCTTCGTCTATGGTCTGCTGGCTGCGGGAGGGACGCTCGGCATCCTCATTCCTCCGTCGATCCCGATGATCGTCTATGGTTTTGTGACCGAACAGTCCGTCATTGCGTTGTTTCTTGCCGGAATAGGGCCAGGTATTCTGCTGGTGGTGTTGTTCATCGCTTTGGCGATGATCCATGCGCGCTGGTTCGGCGGATATCGGTCCGAACCAGCTGCGAGCGTTGACGAACGTCTGCGGAGTTCCCTGCGCGCATTGCCGTCCGTGGTGCTGGCAGTATTCGTTATCGGCGTCATTTATTCAGGCATCGCGACCCCGACCGAAGCGGCGGCAATCGGGTTCGCGGTCGCTCTGGTCATCACGGGCGCCGTCCTCAGATCACTCTCCTGGCAAGGGTTGAAGGAAGCAGCTTACGACTCGATGGTCACGACTGTTGCCATCCTCCTGATCGTTGCCGGTGCAAAGGTTTTCGGCAAGGCAATCACGCTCTACCGGCTCCCGCAGGAAATTTCGATGTTCATCGGGCAGAATATCGATACGCCGCTGGCGGTCATCCTGGTCGTGTCCGTTGTGCTGCTGATCATGGGGCTTGTTTTCGAAGCGCTGTCCATGGTCCTGATCATGACACCCGTATTGTTGCCTGCTGCGATGGCGCTCGGTTTCGATCCAATCTGGTTCGGGGTCTATATGGTGGTGATGGTAGAATGTGCGCTGATCACACCACCGGTCGGTCTCAATCTCTATGTGATCCAGTCGGTTGCGAAATCCAGCCTTTCCGACGTTTCGCGCGGGGTGCTGCCGTTTCTGGCACTGATGCTGCTGTCGGTTGCCATCCTGTATATCTGGACCGACCTGGCCCTATACATACCTTTCAAATTCTAGGTGGTGAAAATGCCGTCACAGGCTGAAAAGCTCAGGAAACTGCTCGATGCGGACAAATTGCACGTCATGCCGTGCTGTTTTGATGCACTTTCTGCAAAACTGATCGAGCAGTCGGAATTCGACCTGACCTTCATGTCGGGATTTGCAACTTCCGCTTCGAGAATCGGGCAACCTGATCTCGGGTTGATGTCCTACGGGGAGGTGCTCGATCAGGTCGGCAACATAACGAATGCCGTCGACTTTCCCCTGATTGCCGACGGAGACACAGGATACGGCAACGCCATGAACGTGCGCAGGACCGTCACCGGTTTTGCCAAGGCGGGGGCGGCCGCCGTCATGATCGAGGATCAGGTCGCGCCGAAGAGATGCGGCCATACGCCAGGCAAGACTGTTGTTTCGCGGGACGAAGCTTTCGACCGGATCCGCGCCGCAAACGATGCCAGGGAGAACGGCGCGGATATCCTGATCCTTGCACGAACCGACGCACGTCATGAACACGGCTTGAGTGAAGCGATTGAACGGGCGGCGCGGTTCAAGGAACTGGGCGCTGACATTCTCTTCGTCGAGGCTCCGAAAACCGTTGCGGAAATGGAGACAGTCTGCCGGGAACTGCCCGGGCCCAAAATGGCAAACATCGTTGAAGGTGGTGAAACGCCGGAGCTTTCACACAGTGAACTGGAAGAGATAGGGTTTGCCATCGCGGCCTATCCGCTGACTCTCATGGCCAGCGCGATGAAGGCCATGCTCACGACGCTCGGTCAATTGACAGCCGATGCACCGCGACAATCCGAACTCATGGATTTCAAGGAAATCAGGACCCGCATCGGCTTCAGCGACTACTACGAGATTTCTTCGCGCTACGAGACGTCCCGGCGGGATTGACCTGTTCTGCCGGGTTTCAAAGGGGGCGCCATGCTTGACTCTCGGTTCGCAGTCGGGCATAGACCCGCGAACTCCATATGAGTGACTGACAACCTGTACCACCGACCGGGACCCGAAAAGGTGTAAAGAGATCCCGGAGGTTCACACCCGACAGCGCGACGCGCCCTCGGGTGCGAAACTGCTTTGCGTCAAGCAAACCGGTTGGATCCAGGCGCCGGTTGCCCATATGGTTCGGGAGATTTCCCGAAGAAGATGACTTAAGGACCCTTTGATGTTTGAAAGCCTGTCCGATCGACTAAGCGGAGTATTCGACAAGCTCACCGGCCGGGGTGCGCTGTCGGAAAACGACGTCAACGAAGCGATGCGTGAAATCCGGCGCGCGCTTATCGAAGCCGACGTTGCCCTGCCGATCGTACGCTCCTTCACCGACAAGGTTCGCAGCCGTGCTGTCGGTGCCGAAGTCGTCAAGTCAGTTACGCCGGGCCAGATGGTCGTGAAGATCGTTCATGACCAGTTGGTGGAGATGCTTGGTGCCGAAGCTCAGCCAATCGACCTGAATGCGCCTGCACCCGTGGCGATCATGATGGTCGGCCTTCAGGGTTCCGGTAAAACGACAACGACTGCAAAAATTGCCCGCAGGATGACCCAGCGCGACAGGCGCAAGGTTCTGATGGCATCGCTTGATACCCGTCGTCCGGCCGCTCAGGAACAGTTGAAAATTCTGGGTGAGCAGAACGAGATCGACACGTTGCCGATTGTCGAAGGTCAGGGCCCGGTTGAAATTGCCAACCGGGCGATGTCCGCGGCAAAGCTCGGTGGCTATGACGTCGTCATGCTGGATACGGCGGGCCGTATACATATCGACGAGCCGTTGATGATGGAAATGGCGGATGTGAAAGCCGCCGCCCAGCCTCATGAAATTCTGCTGGTTGCCGACTCATTGACCGGACAGGACGCGGTCAATCTGGCCAGCAGCTTTGACGAACGTGTTGGCATCACCGGTATCGCGCTGACCCGAATGGACGGTGACGGACGCGGCGGTGCCGCGCTTTCCATGCAGGCGGTCACCGGCAAACCCGTCAAACTGATCGGTACCGGTGAAAAATCCGATGCACTGGAAGACTTCCATCCGAAGCGGATCGCCGACCGTATCCTCGGAATGGGCGATATCGTTTCGCTTGTCGAAAAGGCTGCCGAGGCCATCGATGCGGAAAAAGCCGCGAAGATGGCGAAGAGGATGCAGAAGGGTCATTTCGACCTGGAAGATCTCGCCGAGCAGCTGAAACAGATGGAAAAGCTTGGAGGCATGTCCGGGATGATGGGCATGCTGCCGGGTGTCGGCAAGATGAAGAAGCAGATCGAGGCATCAAACATCGACGACAAGATGTTCAAGCGCCAGATCGCGATCATTCAGTCTATGACCCCGTCCGAAAGATCCAAACCTGACCTCCTGAAAGCGAGCCGCAAGAAGCGTATCGCAGCCGGGTCCGGCGTTCAGGTTGCCGAAGTCAACAAGCTTCTCAAGATGCATCGCCAGATGGCGGACATGATGAAGAAGATGGGCAAGGGCAAAGGCATGCTGGGCAAGCTCATGGGCGGTCTTGGCGGTGGCGGGATGCCGGATGTCGATCCGAAACAACTGGAAGAAATGGCCAAGTCGGGCCAGCTTCCCGATGGAATGGAACTGCCGAAAGGCCTCCCCGGCGGGATGCCGGGTGGATTGGGTGGCGTCGGATTGCCTCCGGGCATGCCGGGTCTTCCAGGTCTCGGTGGACCGAAACTTCCCGGCCTGCCGGGCATGGGGAAGGGTAAGAAGCGATGAGTGAAGCGGAGACCCGGCTTGGCGAGAGCGAGGCTCTGCAGGAGCTGAAAGCTCTGAGATCTTCCATCGACAATATCGATGCCGCGCTCATCCATATGCTCGCCGAACGTTTCAGGTGCACCCAGCAGGTGGGTGTTCTGAAAGCAACCAACGACCTGCCGCCGGCCGATCCGGCGCGGGAGAAGATTCAGATCGAAAGACTGCGGCGGCTGGCTGCCGATGCCAATCTCGATCCTGACTTTGCCGAGAAATTCCTGAACTTCATCGTTCGCGAAGTGATCCGGCACCATGAAGCCATTGCCGCTGAAGCCGGCAACTGAAAACCTGGAGATAAAAAATGGCTACGAAAATTCGCCTGGCACGCGGCGGTTCCAAGAAACGCCCGTATTACCGTATCGTTATTGCTGACATCCGCTCACCGCGCGATGGTC